TTCTCTTTTTCTCTCTCTTCCTTTATCACCATTGATCCATCTTTGTACGGTTATGATTTAATAGCCAGAGATAAAATTATCTCAAGCAGCTTAAGAAACGATAAGCCCTATATATATATATATACATATAGGGGTTTACATCTCTACAGCTGTTGTACGTGCAGCAATCAAATAATTGCCATATATATAAATGAAAACACTAAATGCAGGGAATCATAACCATACAAAAGATGAAAACATTAAATAAGGGAAATTATAACCATACACCTGTTGTTGTTGTACGTAAAGCGGATGCAGAAATGATTTTACCATATATATATATATATATATATATATATAGAGAGAGAGAGAGGTAGGATCATTTGACACCTCATCTGAGAGCCCTTAGATCAAAAAAGATCAATGGTGTCGCATGCTTAGAAATTAGAGTCGTTGATTTTTTTTTATCTAATGACTCTCATATGAGGTGTCAAACTTCAAATTTGACACCGGTATCAGAGGATCCTACCTTTTATATATATATATATATATATATATATATATATATATATATATATATATATATATATATATATATAGTGGCAGACCCACTTGCGGGCAAATGCCGTGCGGTCATAAAAAAATTTATTTCAGTTTTTTTTTCTTTCTTTCTTGGTTGCAGATCCTTATTTGTCTCTTGGTTCAATATATATATTAGGAATAAATACCCTTTTAAGTCCCTAACAAAAAACATGGTCCCCATTTTAGTCTCTTACAAAAAAAAATTAGTCTCGAGGTCCCTAAAAAATTTAAAGTTGATCAATTTAGTTAAAATCGTGGTCCCTCAAAAATTCAAAAAAGACCTACATTAGTCCCTCAAAGAGACCAAAATGGGTCCATTTTGAATTTCGTAGGGATCAGGTGACTAATTTTTTTTTTATAATGAACTAAAGTGGGGACCGAATTTTTTATTAGGGACCAAAAATGATATTTATTCTTATATTAGTTAGCAACGTACGGAGATGATTAAAACAACATAGCAACGCAAATTGATTAGAGAGAAAACTTATTGTTCCTCCCCTGTCACGTACCCATTCTTATGCTCTCTTTATCATTTGTTTCCTTTTTCATTTTTATAAAAAGAGAGAATTGATTGCAGGTCTGACATTCTCAAATAAGTTAATATCTAGATACGAGGCCTTCACTGTGATTTTGCTTGCCTTCTGTATAGGTAGTGTTGACTTTTTTATTCACAACTATAAAATAGAATGATTATGTATGGATGTACTGGAATATATTCTCATATTTGTTTTGGAGGATTGTTAAGATTTAGGAAGGAAAATAATTGGTCAAACTATTGCATGCAGCTTGTTATAGAAGCAATTAGATTATAAGCGGGTTCAAGCGTTGATTTAAATTTTTTTTACAAAAAAAAATTTCGGGGGTGCTATCCCCGAACCCCGCCACTAAATGTGCGGACATAAAAAAAATTTCCTAGCTCCGCCACTATATATATATATATATATATATATATATATATATATATATATATATAAGATGGAAAAAGTGTGTGTCATTTTAAATGATGTAAAGTTGTGTCATTTTAAGAGATAGATAAAGGAAGAGAGAGAGTTGACAAAAAAAAATAAAGATGTGGGTCCTACTTCTTTGTGAGAGTGAAAGGATATAAGTTGTGTCATTTAAAAGAGTAAACATTTTTTCCATATAAGATTCTATATATTAAGTGTAACGCTAAATGCCTAAATTGCCTTAAAACCAAGAGTGTAGAGGTTTTAAGGGTAACCACGTAAATAACTAGTACTATCAATTAATGTTATTAAACTCGGACCGGTGATTGACTCGTCGAGGTACTGGGTCAGTGGGCCACTGGTTCAACCGCATGAACCGGATATGTATATAAATTTATATTTTATACTTAATTATATAATAAATATTTTAAATGGTGCAAGTGAACCAAGAACCAAATGTAGCTTAGTGATATATACTACAATTTATATCTTCACAACAAGGGTTCGATTTCCACTAAATGCAATTTTTAAATAATTCTATTAAATGATATATATATATATATATATATATATATATATATATATATATATATATATATATATATATATTAAATGGTGCATTTTAACCGACAAACGAATTCAGTCCAGTGATAAGTTGTTGTTGGGTATACTCATGAGACTCGAGTTTGAATCCCAGCGGTTCCAACTTTGGAATTATTTTTTCCAAAACCGGTTTGGGCAATAAAACCGGTCCATCGGTTCGACAGTTAATACCGGTTGAACCGCGGTTCACAACCGGTTCACCGGGTCAATGACATATCCAGTCCGTTGCAAAAACTGGACCGGTTGATGGGCCAGTTTCTGGTCCGACTGGCCGGGTCGGGCCGATTTTCTCAACACTGCTATCAATCCCAAACCAAGAAAAATTTTTATGGCGCTGAAAATATTTTAAAACAACAAAACAAGTAACTTGTTTGAATGGAAATGTTGGGCCTGTTTGATTGTGTTTTGGTTTTTTTGTTCTTAAAACTGTTTTGAAAAATAGTTATGGAGACAGTTGTTTTCTATATTTTTTTCTTTTTGAAAGTTAAAAACCAAAACAGAAAACAAAAACAACTCACACATGTTCTCTAAATTTGATTCTAAAAACAAAAAAACAGTTATAGTTTTCAAAACATTTTTTACAAAACAAGTGCTACCAAACGACTTTTTTAATTTTTTTGTTTTGAAAACTAAAAAACTATTTTTAAAAACAATAATCAAACAGAGCCCTAGTTTTTTTTTTGTATGTCAACCTCTGTTTAAAAAATTGAAGGAGCCTACAATAAGAAAACTCACAAATAACGATTGATTTGTTTATAATATTGTGCAAGTCACATGCAAGAATGAAAATTAAGATATTTTAGGTACGTATTCGGTATTCATATATTTAATTTGTGATTTTCTTTAACTATAATAATTGTAAATATCTAACGTGTAAGACCAGAACACTAATGTGAAAGAGTCGTTAGAAAAATTATTTTTTATTAAAAAATGTTAAAAAAATTATGATATTTGAATAATTTTTTAAAAAACGTAAAAACATTACTTACTTATATTTGGGTCCAAAATTGTAAAAGAGATGAGAGATTGATAAAAATGTAATTCATATAATTAAGGGTTGGCTTTTTTTGCGGTCACCGCAGATAAATTATCTGCAGTAAGCCCAATACGATATCGTTTTGGAGCGAAAATCATGATATTTTTATAATTTCAATTTATTTCAGGGTTATTATAGTTATAATTTTTTAATATTTCAATTCCAAAACGACGTCATTTTGAAAGTAAATGCAGATAATTTATCTGCAGTAAATACAATTAACTTATCTACAGTAACTGCAAAAATATTTTTCTGTTTAATTGAGCATGAAATGACATAGTGCATCGAATTTTTTTGTAGGATCGCAAAAAGTGCTGAAAGATATAAATAGTAGGCCTGCAATGTTATAAAGAATTTAAAGTTAGCTGACTCTTAAGAAACATGAAGATAAAATGAGAGTAATAAAAAATTGAGGATGTTAAGGTGGATATGTGATCATATAACTGATATAAGGGTGAATAAGATAAGAAATTGAGATATTTGATGAAGAAAGAGGTGTGTGTTATTTTAAAGGATGTAAAGTCATGTCATTTTAAGTCAGAGAAATAGATAAATCACGGGAGAGAGAGTGGTAAAAATAAAATAAAGGTGTTGATCTCACCTCTTTGTGAAAGTGAAATGACACAAGTTGAAGACAAATACTTTTTCTATTGATGAAATATAGAAATAATATTGGTAGCTGAAAAAACAAGAGAACATAAATTAAACTGGTTTGGAAATATTAGTTGAAGACCCTTAAAATGCTAATTAATGTTTGTTAGCAAAAGCATAACACTAACACAAAGAGAGGAAAAAGTGAGCCGAAGCTTACTTAAGAAAAAGCAGTGAATCAAAACTTAATGGAATTAAAAATAGATTAATTGAATGTCTCAGTACAAAGTGGAGAAAAAACAAACTATTAATATTATGGAGGGGTAGATCCATTTTTTTTATGTATTATTGATAACTATTTTTAATCATTTTTACTATATTTATTATTTTCATCTCTAATTTACTTCTTCCTTCTTATTGTTATTGTATTTTTAATTATTATTTTTATTATTATTATATATTTTTTTAAGATTTTCTTTTTTTCAATTTAGATTCATCAACTTCAGACTCCAAATAACTTGAAATAGATATATTGACGGTGTTGATGTTGATGAAAATAGCACAAGGTTAAGACATATTTACAAATGATTTAATGTTTCTGTTCTTACTGTAGACAAAATTTATCTACTACATTCAAATTAAAATGAGTGAGTTCTACTAATCGTTTTTCTCTTTTGTTTTTACCATAGAATTCATTCATCTTTTTATGAGTATGGCATAAAATATATTTTTGCAATAAATACATAAACATTTTCTCATTTAAAAATTCTGAATATACTGCAATGTCACCAACCAACATTTTCATTTATTATGTTGTAAGAAATTTCATTATATTCATTTCAAAATGGAAGAATACCAATCAAAATATACCACGTCTTGAATTAACTCTCTTAAAAGATTAAATTATTAAGTAAAGGTATATAATTAATTTTTAGAAAATTATTTTTTTATATAATTGTTTTCTCATGTGAGGCATCAAAATTCGTACTTTCTTTTTTTCTTTTAACAAATAGGACCCTATTACTTGTTGTGTCTACGACACGAGAAATAATGTCTGATCTGATGTGAAAAAAGAGAATTCCTATAATTTTAACATATTATCGGAAAAAGTCCAAGGTTTTGAAGAAAGTAATAATAAAATGAGCGATGCAGTGCTCATTGCTGATCGAATAGCTAGTGATCTTAAAAGTCATCAGACTCACTCTGCACGAAGTATAAAAACAAGATATCTATTTCATTTCCTCCTCAAAGAAGTGTCCTGAATTCTCTCTAATAAACAATGTCTGAAGCTTCAAAAAGGTTATGATTTCTTCAACTTTCATCATCTGCATGTCCTTCTCTTTCCATGACAGCTTTTGATCAAAGTGCAAAATCTAAAGTGTTTAAACCCACTGTGTTTGACTTTGAAATGCTTGCTTTCTAGGTATGCAGTTGTCACAGGAGCAAACAAAGGGCTAGGATTTGGAATATGCAAGCAATTGGCTTCTAATGGGATCAATGTGGTGCTAACAGCAAGAGATGACAAGAGGGGTCTTGAAGCTGTTGAGAAACTCAAAGAGCTTGGTCTACCTGGCCATGTTGTTTTTCATCAACTTGATGTCACTGATCCTGCAAGTATAGTATCACTTGAAGATTTCATCAGGACCCAATATGGAAAACTTGATATCCTGGTTAGAAAATTCTCTTGGTTTTTGCTTTTTTGTGTTTCTATTCTTATCATGAACATTTGTAAGGGTAGATGGAATAACATAAATAATACCAACTTTTCTTTTTTTCTTATTATGATGCATTCCTGATTCTTCAAGTAGCCTTCATTTTGTGCTTCTTCTTTGGAATAACATCCACAATTTTTTCCAGTTCTGAACTATGGTTTCTAGTTCATCTTGAATGACCGGAAACATTTGATTAAACTTGGAACTATGTCTAGGTAAACAATGCTGGAATTTTTGGAGCAAATATAGACGAGGAGGCTCTGGCTGCTGCAGGTGTTGTGGTATGAATTTATTTTTTCCCTTTCATGTTTTTAACCCAAAAGCTGAGGCAGTTTTATTTTAAATTAGTTTGAGAATAATTTCTTGCCCATGAATTTATGTTAATGAGTAAAGTTTCACATAGATTAAGAATGAGCACTGTATAAGTGGAAGTATCCGTGAACCTAATGCATTAAGGTTTTGGGTTGATTGTGGTGTCTAAGTCAAATTAACGTTGTTGCTTACTTAGCTCATGGATCGTGGTCTCTCCTCCCATTAGCTCTGTCTATCAGCCTAACAAGTGGTATAATAGCCTTATGATGCTATATCCTAGAGCTTTTCATCTCTAATGATATTTAGAATCTGAAATTAGTTTCCCAATCCTACCTATGCTGCCCAGTTTTGTTACACTGGCCATTGATCTTCTCTCCTTCACTAAAAGGGGGTAAAAGAAAATACAGATTTGTGTGTGGAGCCTTAAAAGATTTCCCAAGTGAACAGAGAACTGTTTATGCATCTAGAACCCGACTTAATTGTTTTATCCATATTAGTTTCATATATTTTTTGGAAAAATTGCCATTAAAAACTCTCAGTTTATAATGGATAAACATTTGAGTATTTTATGTGTTCTTTCTTTAAATAGGAGTTAATTTTAGGTGTTGTGAAGGACGTATTGTAAAGAGCATTGGTTTTGGTTGTATTGGAAGATACTTGCATATAATATATACTAAGTAAACAGAGTGTTAAGTTTCATCTCATTGAATGCAGGAAATAGGTGATTGGAGTAAATTCATGACTTTAACTGATGAATCTGTAGCAGCAGGATTTAGAGCAAACTACTATGGTGCCAAAGACATTTGTGAAGCACTTATTCCCCTTCTAAAGTTTTCAGACTCACCAAGGATTGTTAATGTTTCATCCGAACTCGGGAATTTGGAGGTTTGTGATCCTAGAATAAACTTGTGTTTCTTTGTCTAGAATGTCAATCAGGAAGCCAGTTTTTGTTGAACTTGGAGCAGTGTGTTTGATACTATAAAGACCAAAGGACAAACCCCAATGCATCCCGACTTTTTTAGAGTAGAGATGAGCGTTGATTGTGCACAACTTTATCCTTGTATTTTTTTGCAAAGAGGCTATTCCAGACTCGAAATCATAACTTCTAGTCATAAAGGAGCAACCTAGGAGCAACCTAACAGCTTCTCGTAACTCAGCCTCAATTTGTTTGTTACTATTTTAAAAAAGAAATGGCAATTTGGTCAGATATAGTTACAGCCTTAGCTAGCATTTGCAACAGAGTTATGACATGGACTGAATCCATGTGTTCAATACTATAAACAATTTATAGAAAAAGATTATATAGTAAATAGCCTTAGGTTACATTTGTAAGATGCTCATTATATGAAGGTCACGTGGCAATAACACTAACCTTTGTGCCAATGTTCCCCTTCATACTAAAACAATTTATAGGGAAAAAAAAATTCTCTTTTTTTTTCCCCTATAAATTGGTCAGCTGGTGAACAGGTGAAGTATGTCAATCCAACTAACCTAAAATTTATATGGTTTCTTTAATCATTGTAATAAGTTAGTTGTTAGGAGATTGGGCATAACGTTTGTTACTCATATTGATGCAGTTAATATCAAATGGATGGGCTAAAGGAGTCCTAAGTGATGTTGAAAGCCTTACAGAGGAAAAATTGGATGAGGTTTTGAATCAGTTCCTAGAAGATTTTAAAGAGGGTTTAGTAGAAACCAAAGGCTGGCCTACTTTTGCACCTGGATATTCAGTCTCAAAAGCTGCTTTGAATGCCTACACAAGGACTCTTGCCAAGAAATACCCAACTTTTTACATCAATGCTGTTACCCCTGGTTTTGTGAAGACAGATTTAAACTACAATATTGGCATTTTGAGTGTTGAGGAAGGTGCTGAAAGTGTTGTAAGGTTGGCTTTGCTACCTAATGGCGGTCCCTCTGGCCTCTTTTTCGAACGAAGTGAAGTGGCACCATTTTGATCAAAAGTCATATTTGTATTAGCAAAGTTATAAGAGCACCAGATAACATTCCTATATATCTACAGACTTAATGTGTGTTTGTATTAATTATATTTGTAAACTTTATTATGATTGAAAACTTTTATTTTGAAAGGTGCTGAACAATGTTATTTGAGTAGTATTAATAAAAATACTTGGGCATGAGTTGTCTCAATTGCAAATAAATTTATAGTATCTGTTTTCACTTGTTTATTAGTAAAATATTAAATATAACATAAAATTATGAGGTTATTGATGCCAATATACAAACGGGTTTTGTTCACTGGCAAAGCAACAAAAATATGCTTTTGTGGCCCTTATTGGAATTTAGGTGGGGGATTGTTGTAGGGAAATTGGGTGCAGTAACTGTTTTGCATATGTTTCTGTTATTTTTTGTTTTTGAGTAAATATAAATATGTTTCTAGGTGTGGATGAGACTTTAGTGGCTGCTTCTTAGTATCTCAATAGGTTATAGTGGTTGCTTCAATATTCTTATAAGGGATAGGATCTGTTTAAATTTTTTTTTTTTGCAAATTACACTAAGTACAATTTGTCGCATACTGCATGATTAAAGTATGACCGGTCATACTTAGTGTAGTTTGTAAGAGTTTGTAAACAAAAAAATTTGTAAATATAACCTGCCCCTTTTTATAATATTTAAATTTTTTAAGTAATTCACATCACTCTCGATTTACAATTAGCCATGAACAAGTTGTGAAGCAAATATTAATAGATTTAGTGAAAGACCTACTTGATCAAATTCATTATGCTGGTGCCTATACGTAGACTTCATTGTTACACCGTATGAAAACAAACTACGGAAAGATAATTTGTTACACGTTCAAAATACAACTAATACTATCATTCAGAAATACGAAATTCAAAATTGCGTCTATCTCCAAGCAAACAGATTGATCTTGGCTGGGCATTTTGAACTTAGTAGTGTCATTTTCATAAAATTTTACCGGAATAATTTCTTGGTCAAACATATTACCTATATAATGCATAACGACGCGGTACTGTGAGAATCACTTTAGGACGTGACACTTTAGCAACCGCGTCCTTTGCATTTGTTCTTGACCACTGGAACGTGATACCCTGGCAATCACGTCCTATTCCCAAGACCACTGGAACGTGATACCCTGGCAATCACATCTTATTCCCAAGACGCGGTACACTCTCAGCCACATGTCAGTGGGTCCCATCCCAAAAAGAATTCAACAAGAAGCGGTAGTGTATAAGCCGCGTTCCAGGTTACAAGTCAAGTCAAAGCCAAACAGATATATATATTTCACCTAAAATTTAGGCATATTGATATATTCATTGTAAAAGAGTACATAAAATCTAATAAATCCAATAGTACCCAATCTTATACCCCTGTTTCGTGTTTGGTCTTCTTTCCTTATTTTCAATATGTGAAAGAAACAATTTAATCCAAAAATTTTAATGATTTATATTAAGGTAAACAAAAAAAAAATAGAATCTATGCAAAATTCATACTTCAAGCCCAAAGGGCTTTTGTATGAGTGAGTGTGTAAGTGAATAATATAAACTATTATAAAGACCTTCATCCAACACCTTAAAATTATTATAATTTTATTGTTAGTAAATTTCTAAATTAATTATTCTCTGGTTTAAGAGTTAGTCTTCTAACCAGTAAAGAATAAATTGCTAGCAACTATAAAAACCATTTTGTACGAAAATGACTTGTTGCTTTTATTGGATTTTTTGAACTCTTTTACCGTGAATATATCAATATGTCTAAATTTTAGGTGAAATATATATATCTGCTTGACTCCGACTTGACTTGTAACCTGGAACGCGACTTATACACTATCGCTTCCCGTTGAATTCTTTTTGGGATGGGACCCACTGACATGTGGCTGAGAGGGTACCGCATCTTGGGAATAGGACGTGATTGCCAGGGTATCACGTTCCAGGTCTTGGGAATAGGACGTGATTGCCAGGGTATCACGTTCCAGTGGTCAGGAACAAATGCAAATGACGCGGTTGTTAAAGTGTCACGTCCTAAAGTGATTCTCGCAGTACCGCATCGTTATGCATTATATAGGTAATATGTTTGACCAAGAAATTATTCTGATAAAACCTTATGAAAATGACACTACTAAGATCAAAAAGCCTCTTGGCCGCTAATACTCTCCAAGCAAACAAGAAATGGAATTGACCCTTCCCTGGGCCCCGGAAACAATGATTTTTTATTGAAGTTCTCACCGTTTGTATTACATTTCAGATAATCAATAGTTTAGAACAATCTGTTAAACTTTTAATTTTACGCCACTCACCAATATTGAAGCGCTCAAGCCTTTTTTATAAATCTAATAAGTAGGCTCTTGTTCAACCTTTTTCTAAATAAATGTGATATCAGCTTCCAAGTTTTATATTGTACAAATTAAGCTTGACTCCTTTCCACACTCATAAAATTTATGAAATTCTAATGTGAGTTTGGTCCTCCACATCAATATCGATATGACATATCCATATCATAGTTAGTATATACAGATCTTGTATGTAATATTTTTATTTTTATTTTCGTATGTCTATCATAATTATTTCTTGGAAGTGAGTCAGCTCCGAATATTCTCACAAACTTCAATTCTTTGAGTTGGCTATAGATTAATATTGTTAAATAGTCACCAAATATTAAACAGGGTTCACGATATGGAGCAAGTTCATTTTATAATTTCACCAAGAGATGTTCTATCTTATCCAACTTAAAATTAGGGTCAAAGTATCATAAACACGTCATATGTTCATAATAAACTTTTGTTTTTTCAACTTAGTAAGACAGTCACGAAGATATATAAATAAAGAGTCCTGATACTTACAATTATAGGTATTTCAAAGTTTACAGTTGCAATATTATGTTTAATTTTTTTTCTTCTATTTTGTTTGGTGCTTCCCCACCATCCCTTAATTTCTATTAGATAATTTTACTCTCTTTTTTATGAAAAAGAGGTTGAATGTCTAAAGTAACTTCCCACAAGTAGGGTTATAGATAGGTTAAGTACGAGCGGTCTGGAGCCTAACATGGCCTAATTTATCTAGTAAAATAAAATAGACTTATAAAAAATATTTATAAAATATATCATTGACTTTCTTTTATAAAGCTTGATCAATAAATTTATATGTGAGTTTATATTATATTATTTATTTTGAATAAATTTATTATTTAAATAATTCTAAATAATAAAATATTATTATTTTAATTATTTTTTTATTATTAAATACCTAATAGGCTAAAATAGGTTAACAGACATAAGCAAGGCTTTTTGATTCTAAAATATTGGATAGGTTACAACCTATAATTTAAACAAGTCAAAGTCTAAGCTGGTATCAACGTAGTCAAAATCGAGTTTCTACGCAGAAACAGAAAGGGTGGTAGAAACGTAAATCGTAGAAACAAGACGAAATGCAAAAATTTTACTACTTAAAGCCAAGATACAAAATTATATATATACATGTAAATTTTTTTTTCAAATAAGTCACTACTCAAAATTTAATAAATAACTTCATATTTAAAAGATAGAAGTCATATAACTATATAAAATATAAGTCCAAAAATATTAAAAGAGAAAATTGAATTTAAAAAAAAAAAGGAAAACTTCAAAAAAAAAAGCCTTATAACTTTCCTTATAATCATTTATCCCCTCCCCAAAATTTTGAATCATTTACCCCCTGACTTAAAGTTTTTTTATCATTTACCCTGCTAAGTAAGGGGGGTAAGTGATAAAGAAACTTTAAATCAAGGGGTTAAGTGATAAAAAAACCAAATAAGGGTGTAAATGATTCAAAAAATTTGTTAAGGGAGAGGGGGGGTAAGTGATGATTAAGAAAACTCATAGGGTGTTTTTTGAAGTTTTCCCTAAAGAGAATGGAAAATAGGTTTTAAAAAAAAAACAAAAAAATTGAGTTTAAGTAAAAACAGTAAAAAAAATGTAAAAACTTACGTTTCTACGTAGTGTTTTTACCCGTTTCTACTAAGGATTGTTTTTACTTATGTTTTAACACATTTTTGCACTGCGTTTCTACCCTTTCTACGATTTTGGACTAATTTTTTATAACAATGGCTAGGATAGTCCATTTTTACCCCTATCCAGAGCATATTGTTACTACTCCACGAGTCTGAACTCCTTTACTAAAAATAGGAAAAAAAATGATATTTAAGTAACAATAACTATATTAAAGGGTTGGTAAAATGGAAAAAATAAATTATATTACTTTTTCCAAATTTAATAATGGATATATTGAGTTTTCAGTACTATGAGAATTAATACCGAAGATATTTTCCTCTACCCACATGTAAGTTTGTTGATTTTAAGAATAAGTTGGTGTTTGGATCATAGTTTGTAAATTATGATTGTAAATTATAGTTTGTAAATTATGATTTATGAATCAAAGAAGGTGAGCACAGTTGAATAAGAGTTTTGGTTCATATATCATAAGAGTGTGAGTTCAAACCCCACTAATCGATATTGACTTTGTTGGTGAGTGATATGTAATTTCTCTGAGAAATTTTCAAGAGAGATTAAACCCTGGTGGGATACCAATGTTTAACTTTAACCCTTTTTTTACTTTAAGTCAAATCACAATTTGAGATCAAAATTATGTGTATACAAAACTTAATTAAAAGCCTATCCAACATGTTGATTTGAATTTGAGGGAAAAATGCACCAATATTCCGCCCTTTTATACTGCGGTTAGGGTTGCAAACCGTCACCAGAACTTCCTATAAGGCCTCATAATTTTATTTTATTTTGGTAAGCTAAGACCTCATAATTAATTAGCACTGTCATCCCCAAACCAATCAGATTTTAGCTGCTGAAAACATTAGCAAATATTTAAACAGTTACTTGTTTGAATAGAAATTTAATGCCTCTGTTTACAAAATCAAAGAAGGATGCAACAAGCAAACTCCCAGTCAATTAAGTGTAACTCTAAAAGCCTAAATTGCCATTAAATCA